GAGCTGGAAGCTGAGAACTGGCGACTTTCTAGTACAACTTTAGTACGAGGAGCAATCTGCAGAGCTGGAAGCTGAGAACTGGCGATGTTGTAGTACAACTTTAGTGCGCGGAGCAATCTGTAGAGCTGGAAGCTGAGAACTGGCGACTTTCTAGTGCAACTTGAGTACGCGGAGCAATCTGTAGAGCTGAAAGCTGAGAACTGGCGACGTTGTAGTACAACTTTAGTACGCGGAGAAACCTGTGGAGCTGGACGCTGAGAACTGGCGACTTTGTAGTACAACTTTAGTACGCGGAGTGACTGGGGAGCTGGAGGCTGAGAACTGGCGACTATGTAGTACAACTTTAGTATGCGGAGCAACCTGTGGAGCTGGAAGCTGAGAACTGGCCATTTTGCAGTACAACTTTAGTACGCGGAGGAGTCATCTCTTGCGACTGAGTCATCACTCGCTGCTGAGTCATCTCTCGCTGCTGAGTCATCTCTCACTGCTGAGTTATCTCTCGCTGCTGAGTCATGTCTCGCTCCTGAGTCATCTCTCCCTGCTGAGTCATCTCTCGCTGCTGAGTCATCTCTCGCTGCTAAGTCATTTCCCGCTGCTGAGTCATCTCTCGCGACTGAGTCATCTGTCGCTGCTGAGTCATCTCTCGCGACTGAGTCGTCTCTCGCTGCTGAGTCATCTGTGGTTGCTGAGTCATCTCTCATTGCTGAGTCATCTCTCGCTGCCCACTCATCATACACCACTCAACATACACCACTCGTCATACACCACTCGTCATACACCCCTCATCATACAAGACTCATCATACATCACTCATCATACACCACTCATCATAACCCAACACTGGTTACAGTTGATTGTTTTGTCAACAGGTGAGTTTGTACTGAAGGTTGAAGTCTGGAGCGCGTGAATTTGACTGGGGGACGCCCGTGTTTGAAAGAACCGGAACACTCCTATAGGTCAATTTGTTCTTATAGGAAACTTCCGCCGCCGGCTTGCCCCGGAACTGCTTGTATTAACTTACTGTAAATAGTAATTGCGCAACAAGGTGACCCTGGCTCGATCATCAATATTGGTGGAAAAGTTTCGGGTTAGTTCACAGCATGATGGCGATGGTCTCGACCTCCTGATGCAATGGATTGGCGGATGTTTCGACATCACGATGGTTGCCGCAATGGATGGATGGATGGATGGATGGATGGATGGATGCGCTCTCACGAAGCATGAAATTGGACGATCTCTGGATCACAAGGTTGTATCCAATCAAGACCATGTCCATATTGGAGTGTTTTTGATATAGATAGACCACTACTGGCGGTGGGATGGTACTTCGTTGCTGCTCTATTTTGAGGACACCTGTCCACAAGCTGGCTGCTCTCCAAGACACGTCCCGGACTGTCATCCCGCCAATTACTCCAAGCATCTCGGAGCCCTCTGTCAGTTTCTTTATGTCATTATCGCTTTTAGGGCGGAGGCCATCGCTATAACTATATTGTGTTCTTTACTTTGTTCAATTGTTCTATTCAGTATATGTTTCTTTCATCGGTGCCATGAGCACGATTGCTTTAACAGCTTTTCACGAAGGTGGATGTGCCCCCTCTCCATCTTTCACAACCCTCGCGCAAACCCCAACAAATCATCTGATCATGTTGGCCCTGGAGCCCATAGCACTCAAGTTAGCCATTAGCAGCCATGTCTTTAGCAAGAGATGAGCGCAATATGGGGAATAGACTGATCACTGATCACCTAGTCGGATAGATATTCTAGATTGCATGAGGTCCGAATCACTGAGACACACAAGATCAACTGTATCCTGGAGTCTTGGAACATAATTCCTGTTGAGATTGGCCATCGATTGGGACTCTGACTACTCATGAGTGTGCCAGGTGATTCTTCTATTGTGATGGCCAATATTCAAGGGATGATGCAATGCATTGCAAAACCCACATACAGCAAACTATGTACCATGCATTCTGGCCAAATGGGATCATGAGTTGCAGTGGGACATGTTTGCAAGTGAGCAAACGAACAGCTGAACGGCATTTTAACTTTGCAGGCAAATTTATATATTTAGGACCAAAAATCCTAGGTGTCCCGCAGGAAATTCAAAGTGGCACAACCTTTTGGATGTAGGGATCTGCGCACCTCGCTAGCATCTTCTTCGCCGCGAGGTGTATTGGGCAATGGTGCGTGCTGCACCTGGCTTCCGGTCAGTCGTCAGTGTGCTCAACACTGTCGAGGCAAAGCACTTCCTGTCAGTCCTGTGCTGCACTTCATACTGCAGAGAACTGAGATTCCCACCGAGGAAGTGGCGCGTGAGAGACCAAAGTCACAAATCTTTACCGAGCAATCCTGATCGAGTCTGTACATCAAACACGCACTGCTAAAGTGATCTGCGGGTCCTGGTTTACCAGGCAATTTGCTGGTTTCAGATCCTAGGCAGGGGTCAGGACTGCTCAGGACTGCTGTGTTGGATCAAAAAATAGTGCTGAGGCGGGAACTCTGTGCCAAATCCCTGCGGAATGTAGATACTTCATCCCTTAATGCACGTGTTCTGGACAGAGGCCAAAGGACCAACAATTACCAAAAGCAAGAAAAAACTTATTGAAAAGGTTGCTTTGAGGCTCAAACCCACCAACAAGTTGTAGAGTAGAGTATTAATGTGGAGCGGCGTGAGAAGAACATCGGTTTTGATCAACTTCTTCATGTCCGAATCACAGAGCCTCAACAGTTCGCAAAAATAATCAAAAACGAACTATCTATCTATATATACACTGCTAGCACGTTACGAAACTGCACTGTGCTTGCACTGCTAGCACGGTTGTGGTTTGGAACTCCTTTCGGTTCGAGGCCGGGGCTCCATAACTATGTACAGCTCATCGAAACTTCTCATGTGTGATGGCCTGAATGCTCGCGAGTACAAAAGCTTCTGCGAGATAGCTCATGTCCGTATCAGCTTGTTCAAGGAGCGAACTCGATGATGTCATAGATCTGAACAATGTGAGGATGACTAAGCCTGGTCAAACAGCTGTTGCCGAGGCTTCCAAGTAAATGATCGCAGCATTCAAGGCTGTAGAGTAGTGACATGACAGCCTTGTCATTATGGCGGTTTCCCGCAGGATGCGCTTGCAGTCCACCAAGTCATCAAACATGTGTTTGACCTAGTAATCTGAAGTGGGGCCACCAAAGATTTGCCAAGCATTTTGTGCATTTATTACAAAATCACTTGCGGAAAGGCATATTGCAAAAGGCTCCGACCCGCTTGATGGCCACATTCTGATCACGCTCTTTGTCGTACGCCTCACCTTGCTCTGCAGGCTAAGTTTGTACATATTCAAAGTTTGAAGCACATGCTGCATACTGCTGCTAGGCTGCTACCAATGCGTACGTATTCAGTAGATTCAACGGATTCTGGAGATTTATAGATAGTGATGACTTGGGTACTGGAGGTACAAATACAGCTGGATACAAATACAAGCAGAAATGTGGACTCATATTGCATGCTGACAAAGCTGCAGTGTTTGAGATGTTTTAGGTAGTGACATGTAATGTCACTTGAGCCTGGTGCTCTTAGCGGCCTGAGGATTCTGCAAACACTGCCATAGGAGCCAGATCCGATTATGTTCTTGACTTCGTAACGCGACCTGACACATCACACGACAGTTCAAGTCTCCTCTGGATTGCTCAGCTTAAGTCTCTCTGGATGAAGATGGTGAAGGCATGTGAAGGCATATATGTGAAGGATTTTACTACGGACCAGGCGAGACATGCCACTGTCCTGCTCTGGGAATGACCGGCATTTCTACGTCGGCAAGATGCCTCTTGAGCCAGTCAGCGAGGCACACCGCGCTATCAAGGCCAGGGTAGCTCAAAGCAATCCGCATTGGTAGCTAAAGCGATTTTTAGCCCGGGGGGGTAGGCCACTAGTAGAGATAGGTAGCTAGCTATATAGGTAGCTAAAGTAGCTAGGATGCAGGATAGTTCACGCTTCTTCAAGCAAGCTCCCCCCGCTCATCAGACTGTCGTTTTTCCTCTCTGGCTGCGCCGCTCCGGCAGGTCCAAAGATAAACTGCATCTGCATTTGTTGCACAAAGCGGTCGGGCACCTGCAGCATTCCATCCGTCAATTGCCAATCCTACCCATCCACATCCCCTGCCTGCGATTCAACGAACCAGCTCTACAGCCGCATTGATTCGTGGTGGCCTGCACTGCGGGTACAGCACTGCAAGAAGAAGAGGTCAGTGGATCAAAGCAACAAAATGAATTCCAGCCTTCCAGGTCCACCATTCTGAAACGTTATTCCTGCCCACTGGCCTAGAGCTCAAGCAAACAACTAGAGTGATTCACACACACACACATCTGTCATGGTATCACTAAAACAGAACTTGGCCCACTAAGATTGTGCTGCAAGTCTCAAATTCCTATCATGCCACATACGGGCAAACCTCTGGAACTGCACAGCAAGCTCAGCAGCAAGGATGGGGTGGAGAGTCTATTGGGGTCAAAGTGAGCGATTGAGTTTCACCCGTTTCACCCGTGCTACACGTCTGCACTAGATTGCACACTTTTCAAAGTCACACAAACATCCGGAGAATGGTATATAAAACATTAACCCAGCGGACAACTCCAATAGCAAAGCATCCGTTGCATCATTCTTTCACATATTGATCATCGAGGACAATTTTTAAAAGACACAACGAAATGAAATGCATTCCAATAGTCTATACCACTTGAGGAATGTTCGGTGATCGCCGAACTGTATGTTCAAGTGCTCAAGTGTCTGCACATGGTGCATACGTCTGAAGAACCAAGTTTGTACAGCACAACAACAAAAGATTCGCACCAAAGAGGAGTGTGTATATATTGTTCGCATATGCGTGCAAGTTCAATTCTGACAAATAATGAAATGAAAAAAGATGATATATACAGATGATAAGAAGATATTTTCACCAAACCAGACAGAAAGTGCACTTAAAAACGAACGCATACTTCATACACGAAAGGTACAATGAATGCAGTAATGAATGCAGTTGTCAGAGAGACCATACTTTAAGCTCTGGCACCAGGGAAGGTACACTTTTGGATACGTGCGCGCATTGTTTTTACAAAGTATTGGCAAACAAAGAGGACGCTTATCGAAAGTAAGCGGAAAAAAACTACATCTAAGCAGTGGATGTACACGAACGATGCAAGAAGCGCAGTGTTAAGCAAGCAGATTTGGCAGATTTGCACACCTCGAAAATAACTTTACATTTTGACATGCAATCGTAAAACTTTGACGCCGCAAAGTTACAAACAAGATCAAACAAGTCCAGCCCCCAGCCAAACGCATGTTCCGTTGACCACGAAGCACTTAACAAAGGTTGCGAGTATATTTCTGGATTTTTTTCGTTTTTTCCCCAGATAGCTGGAAGCTATAGGGGTTCTTACTTCTCAATGGATGGGTTCCGGATTGCGGAAATTGGCTGCCGCTGCCGCCTGGTCTCCCAAGCTTGTCTCCCTTCATGATTTCGCTCTTGGCTGCCGCTGCCGCCTTGTCTCCCAAGCTTGTCTCCCTTCATGATTTCGCTTTTGGCTGCCGCTGCCGCCTTGTCTCTCAAGCTTGTCTCCCTTCATGATTTCGCTCTTGGCTGCCGCTGCCCTCTTGTTTCTCAAGCTTGTCTCCCTGCATAACTTCGCTCTTGGCTGCCGCCGCCGGCTTGCCTCCCAAGCTTGTCTCCCTTCATGATTTCGCTCTTGGCTGCCGCTGCCGCCTTGTCGTATTCTTGCCTGCCTTTGACGCGGATGCTGTTATAAGATGATTTATGTTCACCTTTTCCATCCTTTCCCCGGCTTTGAGTGGGATGTCTCCCAAGCTTGTCTCCCGCTCTTGCCATGGTGTCCAACTTTTCTTGAAGTGCTATCTGGGGTCTATGCCGGTATAATTTTTGGATTTCTTTTTGTTTTTCGTGTTTCGCGGCAGGCGCAGTACTTTGTGGACCTTGCAAAGCACATTTCGTGGGAGGTGCAGGACTTTGCGGGCCTTGGAGTGCAGAGTTTGTGGCGGGCGCAGGACTTTTTGTGGGCCTTGAAGTGCAGATTTCGTGGCAGGCGTAGTACTTTGTGGCCCTTGGAGTGCAGATTTTGTGCCAGGCGCAGGACTTTGTGGACCTTGAAGTGCAGATTTCGTGGCAGATGCAGGACTTTGTGGGTGTGGAAGTGTAGAGTTGGTGGCAGGTGCAGGACTTTGTGGGCCAGATTTCGTGGCAGGCGCAAGACTTTGTGGACCTTGAAGTGCAGATTTCGTGGCAGGTGCAGTACTTTGTGGATGTTGAACTAAATGGATAGATAGATAGATAGATAGATTAGATTAGATTAGATTAGATTAGATTAGATTAGATTAGAGTAGAGTAGAGTAGAGTAGATAAGATAAGATAAGATAAGACAAGATAAGATAGATAGATAGATAGATAGAGGAGGCATATTTGCTTGGTTAGAAAGTTTTGCGCCGGGGAGTTCACCTTAAAATATTGATTTCGTGGCAGGGGCGGAGCTCGTGCTTGCTTGCTTGCTTCCTTGTTTGGTTTCGTCTCTGCAACGAAAACAACAGGAAAAGCAAATACAAAAAGAGAAAGGAGAACAGCTGCCAAAAGAAAGAAAGAAAGATAGATAGATAGATAAATAGATAGGTATAGACAGATAGATGGATAGGCCAAAAAGCCAAAAGCCACAAAAGCCAAAAGCCACAGAAGCCACGAAAGCCACGAAAGCCAAAAGCCACAAAAGCCAGAAGCCACAGAAGCCAAAAGCGACAAAAGCCAGAAGCCACGAAAAACAAAAAAATCCAAAAAAGAAACAAAAAAATCCAAAAATAAATACCCCCCCCTTAACACATGTTTGCCGATGGTCCAATTGTTTGTTCGAGTGCCTGCACAAAAGTCCATACATCTCAAGAACCTATTCAACACAACACAACACCATAAGATTCGCGCGGAGGAAGAAAGGCTATTGAATATCTAGGCGCACAATCCCTACTCGAACAGAGAAAAGAGTGGATAAAAGTTCTTACAGATGACAGGAACTTATAATTACTCCCAAAGGCAGAGGAAAATGCATTGAATGACAAACGCGCCAAAGGTGCACTGAACGCAGCACACAGTTACAAGTACTAGCCAGCTAAAAGTTTCTACAAAACCAAAACAAGGGACGCTCCTCTCAAGCGAAACAGTTTTTATACACGGCGACGCATAATCTATACATTAGGCGCGACATGATGCTTAAGCGCCAGCACGCAATGTGCACCGGGTGTATGCACACGCAAGCACACGGTATAAGCAGCCGAGACACAACCACAGCATAAGCGAGACACATCCAAAAATATCCGCGAACAACCGCCACAGAACCGATGCACCACCAAAACAGCAAAACGCAACAAAAACACCACGAAAACAACCGGCACATCACCCAAACATGAGCGAGACACCGAAACATGACCGACTCACCGAACATGACCGAGACACCGCATTAACATCACCGAGACACCACCTCATGACCGAGACCCCACCTAGACATCACCGGACCAAGACGCCACCTAAACATCACCGAGACACCACCTGAGCATGACAGAGAGACCACGTAAACATGACCAAGACACCACCGAAACATGACCGAGAGGGACACCACCGCCCAGGCTGGGGGCGTGGATCCGACCGACGGCACCCAGCCGCCTAAAGAGTGTACAACCCCAAGCTATCGCTATTGGGGAATAAGTTCGAAGCCGTTTTCACAGTTTCTAGGAAGCTTCAAAAACATACTGTACTTGAAAGCTTCATTGTTACTACAGGTGAAACGATTCCCAGTGAAATGATTCCAAATGCCGATCCTTTCGTTGGGATTCACTGAGCTCAAGACCCTCTGCCAGCATCCACTTAAGCTCGTGCCTCGCTACACATGAAGGCTCCGCGGAAACAACCAGACAAAACATCTATGGATGGGTGAGACCCCAAGTTGCTGGCAGGATAGAAGTCTTGTTATGCCAAGCTCCGCTTGCCGTGATGGCATACCCTGGCAATTGAAAATGCAAGAAAGCAATATCGACACAGACTTTTGAAGTCCAGGCAGGGAACTCTGTCATCAAGATCTGAGGGGCACGGTTCAAGGGAACAAATCTAGGTTCATGGACAAAAGTCTGCACGCAAAGGCGGAGAATGGGAAGACTTCTGTTCATTCGTGCTTGAAAAAATGGGGGTCCCCCTGCAGCCGTCCAAAGAATCAGCTTCAAATCATGCTCGGCTCACGAGGTTGGCCAAAGCCTGCAACATCATCACTGCTGTCATCGGAATATCATGACTTGAAGTCTCCTGGCCTTCATCAGCAACACCCAGGGCTACTGCCATCTTGGCACCCCAGCCAAGTTCTTAGAAGCTACGTGGGCACTGGCACAGCTTCGCAATCTTGGATGTTAATGCTGAGGAGAGGTCTGCTCACTTCCACAACACCATCAAACCCAGAGCCTCGGCCACACCCAAGAACCAAGTCATAGAGGCAAATGATTTCCCTCCAATTCAGGCCAGAACCCCCAAGACCCGACTGAGCACTTTGTAGGCCTGGCCCACTGAAACTTCAGAGATCTTTAAAGCAAAACTAAATTTTAACCGCTGCCTAGAAGTGCACCAGGTCCACCGCTGCCTGAAGATAAGGCGAGCTTTGAGATTGTCTTATATAGATGTGCTGAAAACAAGGTCAGCTCTGAGCAAAGTGCCGATTCTGAGCTTGGTTGCAGGTATCACCTGCACAAACACATGCAAAGAAGGTTTCGACATGGATGCGTCTCAGGCTAGGGCAGCTGGTCGTGGAGCTGGTCGGGGAATTTGATGGTAGGGTGATCTCTCCAACAAGCGGCTGAAAGAACCTGTCGCAAAGCAACGTACTATTAAAAGAAACAAAATACAAAAAAGGATGAAAAAAAGGATTGGCCGCCTTTAAAGGTGCCAGTGCCTTACCTTCTTCATCTCATGTCTGTTCATTATGTCATAAGAATGTAAGTATCTCAAAGCAGATTGGACCTTGAAGAAAGGACGAAGCGGAAGCCATGCTATCACCGACCTTTTTTGTCAAGACTGGCACTGTGTGACACAATGCGATGTCTAGGGAAGCTGCGAAGGAAGGCAGCCGAAAAGGTCGATATTGCTGGAAGTGCTGCAAAGACCAATCAGTTTTTGGATCTGGCACCTCCTTGCCTCAGAAATTCAGGCAAACCAAAGGGAAGCCGTGAAACCTGCAGAACCCTGCAGAAGAGCTCAAAGTTGAGGAAGTCGCTTCTCCAGCCCCGGCGCATCTGCGGTATGCAGTGATATGAAGAAAGGTTTGAAAGAACTGTTTTTTGGCCGACCTCCTTACTTAAGTAGGCGCCTACTTAATCAAGTAAGGGAGCTTCTAGTAACTGGACTTCTTCAAGGAAGCTCCCCGCCTGAGGGCGCGGGGAGCTTCCTTGAAGAAGCGCTCGCACTAATCGTTTCGTTCCTAGATGTTTAAGGAAACTGAGATGTCAAGAGCAAAGGACGATACTAGGAGCACAGGGCATCGCTACTAGGAGCAAGGACGCTACTAGGGGCTCCTGGCCTTGCTACTAGTAACAAGGACGCTACTAGGTTTCAATCAACTTTGATTGCGTCTGCCGCTTTGTCTGGTCGTCTCAGGCCGTCAGGCGTGCCTGCCCAGTCCAGGCACCCAATCGACGGTGAAGCGTCTGTGCTTCAACCAGCCAACCTTGAAGCCTTGGGTCAATGGTAAGTAAACAATGAGTACACGATAGGAAGAAGAGAAGAAAAACACAATTAGGTATATGTGTGCAATAATACGAAAAAGGAAGGTAAGACTCCCTTGAAAAGGGCCTTGCCTTGCATTTTTTCATCTGGCCTTTTTCCATTTGCTTCAATGTCTGAAAAGGCCCAAAGAACTAGTCCCCCCTTTGGCTCGTACCTCCTTACTATATAGCTTGCATTCGGGACAGGATGAAACTACTTTGACATGTCCAAGAACTAGGAGCCAACTGAATAGTGCGAGCGCTTCCTGAGCTATCCTGCGTCCAGTAGGTAGTAGCGTCCAGTTACTGGTATCGCCCTTACCTAATTACATGAGCAACTGCCTTCTTAGCTATTTAAGAGCGGGCTTTAAAAAAAACAATAAATTTGCTAAACTGGCGAACGCTTTGGAATGCTTTCGAGGATTTCTTCAGATCTGGGCTCCTCTTCACTCTTGGGTTGTTGCTCGTTCAAACCAGGCCAGGAGATATCTGCCTCAGCTCCAACCAGGTTCGGGTGAAAGACCGCGACGCATAAAGTGAGACTCGCTCGTAGATTGTTGGAGCTCTGGATGACACACCTTGGGGCTCAAGCCGAAGAACAAGGATTTCAAGCAAATGTCACAAGGTAGCACAAGGTACTTTACTTGCAAAGCAACCAGGACTCTTGCCGTTCTCCGCAGAATCCCCCTCCCTGAAGCGCTGCATGTTTGGCTGCAAGAGTTTATTTGAATCGTGCATTCTCCACAGCCTCAAGAACCAAGTTTCGGGCTGCCGCTTTGATGAAATGACAGTACCCACTTTGATTCCAACTGGCAGACCTTACTATCTGCATGCACAAAACCTGCACCCAACGAAGTGATTCGAACTGACCTGTGGAAATATTCTGCAACTGAAGTGTTTAGCTCTCGGCTAAAGTTCAAATATTTTGCCTGTGCGCGAGGACCGAACACGACTTCTGCTCGCCTGAGAAGAGTGCCGGGTGCCACAAGGCTAACCATCACTCCAACTGCCCAATAGCTCAGCTTTCTGACTGCTCCCACTCTTTCTCAGCTTTGGAGTCTCGGGGAGCCTGTGCTCCAAAGGGAAGTCATTGAATGGAGGAGTCAAGATTTTTGAGTCGACACTTGCAACAGAAAGGACTGACCAACCTGCATGGCAGTCTCAAGATTTACATCTAAGCCCGTGCCGTCGGGTTGCCTCACACATCTAACTTGAAACTAGTTTGCCAAGAGACAAACATGACACCTTAAATGTTCATCGTTTCTGTTTGTTCCCTGGATTTCATCTCTTTATCTAGGACCCAAACGTTTCTTTCCCTTCACGAAGCAGCGCCTTGGACCTCAGTTTCTACATATGCAGATCAGCCAAAGCAAAATAGCTCTGAAGCTCCTGCCAACGGAGTGAAGCTCCATAACCTCAGATGTCTCCAATATCAGCAGTTCAATTGAGAAAGCCCAGCTAGAAAGGGATTGCCTGCAAGTCAGTATTTTGTGTGCCTTGCTGAATCTTCAGTTTCTATTCTATGCTCTCAGGGTCAAGCTTCTCTTGGCAAGACTGCTGCGGAAGCTTGGATGCCACCCCCATAGTTTGGGCGCCAATGAGGGCAAACCTTGGACTCAAAAGAATCCCACTCCGAGTAGATCCATCTGCTGAGTGTTTTCTTGTTCTGTTGTTTTCTTTTGGGGGGGTAGGCCGACAGGTAGGTGGCTCTAGGTAGCTAGGCAGCTAGTAAAAGAGATAGCTACTACCTGCAGGTAGCTACTACTTAGGACGCAGGATAGCTCACGCTTCTTCAAGGAAGCGCTGGCACTATTCATTTGGTTGGTAGATGTTTAGGGGGAGACTTAACCTTCCATCAGCAAGTGTTTCTGAATTTGGAGTTTGAGACCCGCGCTGGTTCAATTAGATTGCAGGCTTTCCACTTGGCTGGGTCCCCCACGCTTTTGGTATTCCAACTGCCACTCATCTGGTCTTACGCACATGCACAAGTGCTGTGCTGGTTGCAAATTTGAAGTCCTTCTGATTCTGCCTTCTCCACTGACTGCCAAAGAAGGAGTCAAAAAAAAAACTATTACTATGTATGTATGCTGTATGTTGTACAACTGCACAATGTTGGTTTCCTTGACAGCGCATCGGTTTTAGGCTAAGCTTGTCTGGTAAGAATTACGAAGCTCTACAACATTATCATAGCAGGCGAGCAACAAAGTTAGAGTTAGAATGTTCAAAATATCATGAGGGTGGGTGAGAAAAAACCTTGTATAATATATGGTTGATATTTTGCATTTGGAATGTTGCATGGTAAGCCAGTGGATCAAGAAGGAACCTTTTTCCCCATAACTGGTCGATCTCTTTGCAGCAACTGTATATCTAAGGCCATTCAAGATAGAGTGGTGAGGTGCCAAATGTTACCAACTCCCACATCTTATATCAACGTTCTGTCTGCATACCAAAAAAAACTATCTGCACGCATGTATTCCATCTGCACATGTTTGTCCAAAATCTTGCCCACCTCTTTGACATGTCCATCTTGGAGTTGCCAATTATATAAATGAAAAACTGCTAAGTGCAAAGCCGCTACTGTATACAAAAAGCAAGTGGTGTGATTTTTTATGATATTGACTAACAAGTGTGCAACGCACATGGTGAGTTGTGCCTCAGAGGTTTTACATCTCTGTCCATGTATGCATGTACTTGTTACTACAGTAGTAGCTTCTTGTTAGTAGTAATGCACTTTGTACTAGTAGCGATGCACTTGTGACAAGTTTAAAGAATACTTGTCGAAACAACCTGCTGCTCTTCAAACTAGTATATACTGCCATGCACCACAACGGATAAATCTGCGGCGCTACAGTCAAGAGAATTACGTTTATGTGTCGCAAATCTTACACTTTCGGCGGGTCTCTGAGTTCAGTGCGTAGCCCATCTGCCTAGCAAAGGGCTTTATGCTGCTTCGTTCTTGACGACTAATTGAACACTGCCGGTGCAATCATGTAAAAACAGCTTCCTGTCTCTGCTCAGCATGGTCGCCTTTTGCAATGCGGCCAGCTGCGTTGAGATGCAGCTCACCAGGATGGCTGGCACCAGCCTTGAAGTATTTCAAAAGCCCAACCAAATGCAACAACTGATGTCATGTTGATCTTTGTTTTGGAGAAATGAAATTGCCAGATTTACCTTCATGGAAGAATGATTTCGCTAGGCTGCCAGCTCCAGCATGAAGCTGATATTCTACCGGAGAGACCTGAAGCCAAATTGACAGCTGGAGCTGAGCTGTCTCAGCAACTTCCCTGCCTGCTCAATGTGGTTTTCGAAGTCAGATTCCCACCTGGATTGTGTCAACAATGGTCAACCATCACAAGTTGTTCAATCAATCCGAGTGAGGCTCACCAATCTTCATTTGTGAGGCTCTGTTCCTGCAGATGTCATAGATTCGCTGGCCGTGTGAGTGCGGGTCGCATGTCAATTGGTATCCACCATGTCTGCTGACGTCTTAAATCGCCTCTGGTCTGACGTCGGCTGGACTGGACTTTCTGGCTTGGCCTTTGACGCTCAGAGATTCAAAACAGCGCAGGGCAATGTCATTGCTGAGGGATTCATGATCACTGTATCACTCCTTGGAAATAGGCTAGGGACATACAGCACGAAAAGGATACATTTCAATAGCACCCGTACATCATATCCCGCTACATCTTCAATTGCAGGCTATACACTATACCCAATCTTCCCCTCGAGTTCGAGCGATATGACTAGACATACCAGCGTAAAGTACAAGGACTTGCGCCTGCCACTTCAGAGAATGCCGCTGACAGTACACTGGCCTCCCATGTCATGTCGTGAATGCACGTGCTTCAAATTGACTCAATATCCCCATTCATGTCTCAGTGCCTCTTGACTTCCTTGACCTGAGTTAGCAGTGACACGGTAACCTTCCTAGTCACCATCTCTCTCCCTCTTCCTCTTCCTCTTGCTCGCGCTCTCTCTCTCTCTCTATCTATCTGTCTATCTATATATCTACAGTATCTAAGTATCTATCCATCCATCCATCCGTCCATCCGTCCATCCGTCCATCCGTCCATCCGTCCATCCGTCCGTCCATCCATCCATCCATCCATCCATCCCTCTGTCAGTCAAGGCACCTATGTGCCGCCAATTCTGTGAGAGCGCAATTGTTGCAATAGCAGCCCCAACCTTCAATGGCAAGTGTCACTGGAAGAATAGAAGCATGTTGCTTCTTAAAGGAGTTGCTAAGTGCAAAAGCAATTTAATTGAGATCCTGACAGTCACAACTCTCACAAAGCACGCTGGCCTAAACACGGCAACTTGCTAGCTGGGGCAATGAATTTGGATACAATCTTCACAAGGTAACAAGGTCAGCGTTTGCAGCTTTTTTGCACGCGCGGGGACTGTCTGCAATGTCTCACACTCTGCCAAGTTTGGGGAGTGCACAGTTTTTGCAGCAGAACTCCAGCCTAGATTTGCTTCTAGGTAAAGGATGTTGTAGCCTTTGCAGCTGGTCAGCTGCATGGCATGCGAAACACCACACCCTCGGGAAGATATATGCACTGTACAATTCTGTGGAAGCTAAAGCTCATCCACAATCCACCCAACTGCCATCGGGTGGAAGGTAATATAAGAGACCCTCTGGTGCACCGATGCCGCTTCCTCTAGCTTCGGTACTTTTGAGAATTCTGGCAGAACCGTTTCAATGAATTTGGTTCCCTCTTGACTTCAATTAGAGGCTAGGTCACTGAATCACTCACAAAGGATCCAAACTGGTGAAATAGTTCTGGGGCTACAGTACTCATCTGCCACTATCGAAGACGCATGCAAAACTCTGACACCGCTTTTCGGTGCAAATTAATTCAAAACTGACATCTCTCCTCAGAAGACCGCTGTCGCTGCTTTAGAACGACCGTCTCATTTTGGTGGAAACGTGTCCGCCTCTGGCGGCATTTGAGATTCAAGAATGAAGACTCCATGTAGATTCAACATTAGTCTTTGGGGCATATTCCCGAAGCTCTCCTGGCAGATTGATGCAGGAGTAAACGACGCGCAGGTCCAAAGGGTTGGCCAAATGCGCTCTCCAGACATGTGCGCAAACGAAGTACTCGCATGCCCACCTTGGCAAAGTATCTCGTGGCAAAATGCCAGATGCTTCAACTTTGCCATCTTCGAGAGTCTGTCGAAGAAAATACATACTTCCATCCTCCGCAATTTTCACCCATGCTTGCAAAGGGCCAGCGCAAGGCTCGTTCAAAGGTGACAGGACGGGGGTGCTCAACAAACAAGAGTCGCCACGGTATTGCATGTAGCAAATCCCTGAGTACGGTGCAAATAACACTGACATAGATCTCCCAGAATGTGGGCCAGCGCAAACCTCTACCTTAGAGTATCAAGTTTGCTTCTTCCAAACTGCTGAGACCCAAGAAATTGATTGAAGGATTTCGGTGATGAATTGGATCCATGTTTTCTGGTCAACCAGTTGCTTTACTTAAACAAACTGTTCGGTCTCATGAGTTTAAGTCTGCACTAGTACTTTCAAGGATTTCCAGGCCCCTTTCATGCGAGCTGCACCAATACAGAATGCAGACTCCACCTTCGTTTCGCTGGGCTCAATCACCACTTCCATGCCAACTGCAAGAGACTGACCCACAAAGCTTCCAATTGTCAAAGGTATCGCGACCTGTGCGAAGCGTTGTTTGAACAGAAAACAAAGCAGTAGATGAATGAAAAAACCTATTTGGTATTCCTCTCTCTGCACAGCTCCCAGGCACTCATTACAACTACTCTAGTAGCCATTTTATTAAAAAGAAAAGAAGGGTCCGGCATTTCACCCCATCCCTCTTTACCCTTGCACAGCTGTCACAGCACCGGCGGTGATCTGAGCTGATTTGACGACTGGGATTGGGGAGTGCTGTGTCATGGGGACTTGTGGTCGGTCTGCGGCCACGTGCCTTTGGGAAGCGCTGTTTCTAAGCTTGTCCAGGTCTTGCCCAGAGTTGATTCGTGCTGATTCCATGTGATTTTGAAACACTTGAGAAGAACAACGACCTTGAGTCTGTGAAACTGTCCTGATGTTCTCTGTGCGGGTGAAGCTTCCTTGAAGAACCCTCATGATCGATAGATGTTCCTAGATTAAGCCATCATGAAGACCGCGCCAATTCAATCGTTCCTGCTTTGGAATTCGCTCCCCATTTTCCGATCCCACACAGAGTCGGCACCTCTAAAGGAGTTCCATTCTCATCGTGATCCTCTTCCTTTTCAGGTAGCACCTCTGCAGGATGGGTTAGGATCTGCCACAGCAACTTTAATCACTGTTCTTGTTCTTTGCGCCTACAAATTTCTTTGTTGCCAAACACATCCAAACACCAGAGCATGCAGTGCCTTGGCGCTGCAGAAGGAGGTCTCAACGACGTCAGGATTCCAAGTTTTTGGAGGAAAGACTGCAAGCCGCAAGAGACGGAGTTCACGTAAAAAGTGTTTCCCCTTCACACCACCGTCAATGAGCTGATTGATCACTGAGTGCCCCGAAGGGCCCCACACCGGAACTTTTGAAAGAACCTGCTCCATCGCAGCTTCGTGCAAGGAGAATACGGCGGCTTCTTTCGAAGAAAAGAAAGAAGAGGCTTCTTCACAGCGAGAGATCTGAAGTACATTCAGAAAACTCGCAATGTGCACAGTCAGCTCCCCGAGATCCGAGAGATGCATCTCGCAATCCATTGCGAAAAGTCTTTTTCTCAATCCGAGGGTCAAATGTCAGTTCTTAGATTGGAATTTTCGGAATTGTTGTGTCTGTTTTGTCATTTCATGTCTTTTCTGACTGACCACTCATGACCAATTATGAGTGGTAGGGGTCTCTCAGCTTGATCCTGAAAGCATCGGAGAAGCAATCGATCTTCTTGGCACAGCTTTTGCGCGCACGATGGTCTGATGTTTTGGACGACGAAAAGGGAATGCAATTCATGTCCTGGCCTCAGCCTCCTACGAGGTCGCGCCATGACAATTGCGGCTGTAAAATCTTTAATGCAACTTGATATGCTTCCCTGCGCGACTGCTAGGTATACGCCTGTATGATCATGTATGTACAAAGAATACTGGAGCACCTTTTGACAGTCCAAATGCTTGTTCAGCAGCCTACAATGGTTTCAAAAAGGCGCTACCCTGGCTGGCGGCGCAGCCAAAAACGCTGCAAAAGGACACACTTCAAAACGGAAACGCCCACGTCCACCACTTACAAGATGATGCATCTAAGCACAATCATTGTCCGCTCTGAAATGAGAGTCACGTCAAGTTCAGCCTCGATGAACTCAGCTTTCGACTTCGCATCCGCATTTGGGATTGGTCATGAAGCGTCACCCTCACGTCATCCTTCCATCACATCGTCTTCATCATCCTCCATGGCGGCTTGGTACCTTGTATCAACATCAGCGTGTCCATTTGGAATTACCATGTTCAAATACTGCTCAAGTCTTCCGCTTGGTCATCATATTTGTCTTTGGTGGCTCCAGTGTGTTCACATCTTGCTTCGAATCATAAGAATGGCACCCGCGTTTCTCATAGATGTTGTAATTCATCACCTGTCCATGGAAGGCTGGCGACTTGACTTGTGAAACCCTCATCAAATACCTTTGGACATTGGCTGGCCATTCTGCTCCCTCCTTCTCGATAAGGTCCACATGTGTTAGCATCATACGCCGGCAGCAATACCTGAGGTCTGCAAAACGTCAGATTAGGTCCAGACACGACCTCCTAAGTGTCATACCTTGTAAACCCGAGTTCGTCCAATACCTGGCAAGGGTGGAAGGATGAAGGGAAATCAAAAACAATAAAAGTAGCTGGGAGACCTGGACTCTACAGGTGGCAAAGACACACTAGAGTCCGGACTACTCAAGGAAGTTTCTCCACGTGAGGGTCTATTGCATCCTTGTTTCCGAGCAGTCTATTGTATATAGGGAATCTTGTTGTCCAAAAGCGTTGGAGTTGAAGGTTGTGACTTTCAAGACCTGAGGCCAGGCACAGCACGCTCATCCTCTTAAATGGTTCTTGGCTCATGTGGATAAATCTGTGGTGACTTTCACCATGAGGCCTCGGCCTCAACGCTCCGGGCAGATTTTTTGGTCACTGGCCCGGTCATCAAACATTGATGGCTACGCGTGTCTTGGGAGCACCCTTTGCAATGTGCAGAATCCCCTTGCCACGGGGTGCATTTCAGTTGCTCTTCGGTGCTTTGACTTTGAATCTTCAGGGCCCCAGCTGGGTCTCCCCCTAAGGACTACTTGCATGATCTTTGCTTTGCTCAAGCGTGAAAAATTCGCCTGCGTAAATGAGCGTGGCCCTTTCGATTGAAAGGAGCGCGTTTGCTTCCAGTGAAAGGGTTAGTGAAGTCCAAGACTTAAGGCTGGCGTAGAATGCGTAGAAGTGAGTAAAGCAAACTTCTAGTGCACTCGGTGCGCTGGTTTTCAAGGAGCGTCAGTCGCTGATCGCCGCCGCATGTTTACAAGTAAAAGAGGCGCAAAAGGCACAAATGCATTGAAATACAAAATGCATGTCATGATCGTGCCACGCCTCCTTCTCTGGAGCAGGCTTTGGCTTTGTTTTATCCTCCGGATGCTCTTGGTCTTGCTTCTCTTGCTCTTCAGCTTTTCGAAGTAGCATCTGTAGGTACTTCTCCCACCTGCACGTGTGTTTTTTGTACTGTAGGCTCTTGTTGCCTCAAAGGTTTCTCCCAAAGTCGTTGCAAAACCACAAAGCCTATTGCCGATGAGCTTGCCGCATGAGTAGCAGCCTGCCCACAACTCACACAAGGAAATGGCCACCAACGCGAAGCTCGTTGGAACACATAATCTGATTGTTTCATGAATGAGCATGTGATTCCTCAGCACAAGACGAATCGGTATGATCATGGCTTCGTGCACAGCTTGCACGCTTTGTCAAAGCAGTAACATCTTGAGCCTCAAGCTGCAGTACAAGCCCGCGATTTTTGCATCATCATATGCATCTCAAGTGTGCAGATGCATCCCTAAATGCCTTGCATCACCTTCCATCGGAATCCTAGCCTAGAATCCTAGAAAACTTGGAAAGGAAGAGCCTCGGAGCCTCCTCTGCGAATTCATCTTTTTGCGGCTCTACAGCGCAGCTCGAAGGCACTCAGCCGGATGCCTCACATGTGCCAAAAGATCGTTCAGAATCATTCACTTTGTACAAAAAATGCGTTGACCGTCCTGCTTTGCTAGCTCTTTCCGAAGCTTTTTCTCCTTCTTTTTCGCCTTCTTCTCCTTGGCAAGGCAATGCTGCAGAAGCGCCAGCAAAAAGCTCAGCAAGTGTACTACAGTCCAAATGTGCCTTCTTTTTAAGCTTCTTCATTTCCTTCTTCACCTTTTTCTTTTTCTTCTTGTCACCCGAGGAGGATGAGCTAGATGATGAATCTTTCCCGTCTGCCTTCCTGGTGAAATCATGGTGTGTTCTTGTATACAAATACTAGCGGCTCGAGTATACTAGGCTGAATCCCAGAAACAGAAGATACTTCACTGTGAAACCGTGAAACGCCAGACCCAGCATGAAGTCCTTTTGAAATACGCCTGCAGCGCTGCTTTTACAACACTTGCATCATGTCCTGCCCAACAAACATGTTCAGCATGCAAACAGCCGTCTTCACTGGCCTTAACCCAACTCTCCAACTGTTGGTCCTTGGGCGAGCTTTTCAAGGTCTTGGGCGCTGACCTCACATCACTGCACAGTGCAAAAACCATTGCAAGGAGTCGTTTGATCTGGGGTCAGTACTGGATTGTCTAGGGCAGGAGGCTCGGCATCCTCTCGATTCTGAAAGGTTCAATCTTACACGATTCATCATGATTCCTTCATTCCTGGGAGCATTGCTGCTTCGCTTGTCAGTCTAGCCGCGCATTCACTGAACATCTTGTGGGGTTTGAAAAACTGGCATATGAAGGATTCATCCATTCATCCTCTACTAGGTCGTAGTGCTTGCCGCCGGAACCGGACCAGCACCTGAAGCACAACATGTCACCAATTCCATGTAACTCTAATGCGACTTAGCAGCTCTCGGGCAGCATGGCCCCTGGCCTCAGGCTTCCAAGCTTCTCCAGACTCTGCTTTCTCGACTTTCCTACCCTTTCCAAATCTATCAAAATGTATTCCAATTGACAAATCACGTGAGTTTCCACTCTTATTTTTTTGCAGGCTGTCTTCCTCGACATCAAGTACATCTCAGGACGACACCCCACACTTTGAGCATGTGGTGGCCTGTTTGGCAGCAGTCAAGGATCAAAAAGGACTCAAACTGATCTGGAGGCCATACCTGAATCGCGCCAATCCGGATGGGTTCAGGTGCTGACTTTCCCTGTCCCTTTCCACGGCCAGTATCAGCCTTTCACGTGAATGGCTCAAGAACTGCCCTGCCAAACTCGGCAAAGCACCTGGCCTGAAGATTGCCTGGATCCTGATCTTCACCATCCTTCTGACCAACAAATCTCATGTCGAGACCTTGGATAAGGCATGGGAATGTTCGGATCGTGCAGCCGAATGACACATTGGGATCTCGGACTGTACTTGCCTTCTTCCTCCTTAATTTCAACAACCTGCTGCCACGCGGTTTGCTTGGCTTGAAGAATTGTTTTTGCACAATTCCATGGCCTTCACCCAAACAATGTCATCTTGAGATACCACATCCTGAGATGCTTGTACGCACTGGAGCAGGGATTAACTGGGCCGTGTTCTCTTAGTTTTAGTGCTTTTCTCAGGCTCTTCATCATAGCGAAACCCAACTGAGGTTTACGCTGCTACTGAATCAACTCGGCCAGAAGCAGACAGTCGAGATATGTGAAGCAAACCATCCTTCGCAAGCACTTGATCTAATTCCCTACAAAGGCCGCAAGCCATCATGGCGCAGTCCTTGTATTTAGATCCATCGCCAAGGCGAACAAAGGCGCCATAGTCTTGCACCTGGCCATGGATTGTAATTTCACTACGGGTTGTGGAGAGAGTTCAACAGCATTGGCGGCACCCTCGCAATGGTGCCCTTGTGTATGGAGTACAGTTTGGGAATCTCCCGTCCAGTCGTTCGTGCTGGGCGATCCCTGGCAGTCCAAAGGCGAAGTGCGAATGCAGTAGCTAAGTTGCTAGATACAAAAACATGAAAAAAGGACCGTCATGGCAGCATTGTTTTGAAGCTGTGAAATTCTGAAGTTCCACGTCTTCGAGTCTTTGAGGGAAAAACTGTGGACCACACTACCGACGCATAAAGTCAAAAGAACATGAAGTCTCTTGAAACAAATCACACACTTGAAAAAGGTTGACAAAACAAAACACACACTCTGATCGCCCCAAGCCCTGAAGAAGTCTAAGTAAACAATTTGCCTGCCTGGGTAAAACAGGTAGTGGCGTAAACGCGAACGACGAGTGCATGACTGCAGAAAGCATAGCCGGCTCAAAGGCTGGCAATCTTGTTCTAGTTAAAACAGGGACCAACGGCGTGAGACCCACCAGCTGCATTTAGATGCCCAGGCGCGGTCAACAGCAGGTATGTTTGCGCACGCAGTCTTCGTTGGCTCTCGTCTCACGCAGGCTCCGAGAGCCCTTTGCTCACACAATTAAAACCAACAGGTTCCCTGTGACTCCAAGCGTTTCACACACACGCCCCCCACTTGACTTGATAAAAAGGAATTAGCGTGAACGCACTGGCACTTGACTAAAAAAAATTGTCCACATATACCAAACCAACTCGCGATCGATCCGTCATCGCCCCTTCGGGTCCTTCCACATAGGTGGGGTACCCAAGGGTTGTCCACATATACCGACCTAAGAAGCCTCCAGAAAAGAAAGAAGCCTAGAAAGAGAAACGGAAGCGTGAGAACGAAAGCGGGGGGGGTGGCGTGGACCGACTAAACGAACCTAGCAAGCCTCAAGAAAAGATTTAACAAGCGAAAGAAAGCAAAGAGAGAAAGGGGGGGTGGGTCAGTGTGTGTGGGGTGGGTGAAAGGCAAGTGGCCTGAAAGCCGAAATCGGCAAACTCTTGACTAAAAATTAACCTGCAAATTAACAAGCCACTAGCAACGAACAAATCCTGGAAAGAGAAAAGCCCTAGGAAGGAGAGAAAGCAAGACCATGCGTGAATCACTCAGTTTGATTAAAGATTGGAGCACATGCGGATACTTAGCTGCATGTCATGGCATTCTGATGAGTATGCAGTAGACCCTGCGGCGTACAATCTGCAATCTCGAGCAGTCAGCTATACTCACGCCCTTGAGGGCCTGTGCTAAACGCACCCAAAGCTGGGGTCACACAGCATACCACAGTGGGACGATGCTGCGAGTCACACTTATATAGATCCATGCTCGCAAGAGATCAATCAGTTGTGAAATTCCCGTGAGGTTCGCCTTTAGGTGAATACTTAGCGCTTGACTTGAGACAACTTCAAGAATGCTGGGTCAGAGAACAGAATTGTTTGAACATCACGCGTTGGCACTTTAGAAGAAAAGGAGGGTAACAGCTGGGACAACAGTTCAAACAGAACGAAGGAGTGCAGGTACGTCGAAAAAGCTCGATATCCTAGTCTGAACCTCGTTGGCTCACGCCAGGAACAGACCCGTGAGCCCCCCGCTTTACTGTACTGGAGGTCCTTAGAAACAGGACCTGACACACACACAATGGGAAGGGTTATAATCCAAACCTCAAGGATAGAAAAAATTCCCGAATATTCAGAATTTCCATATTCTATTTGAAACTGCTTTCGGTGCGCGCGAAATAGAAAAAAAGGGCTTCGCCGGAGCGTAAAAGAGGTGTTATATCATGTTATATAGCTACTTTTGCAAAAACCACTAAATAGCATAATATCGAATATGTTCTTTTTGAAATCTGTCCGGTGAAGTACATCTTCTATTTGAAATGCTTGTTTTGGATATATATATTCTATTTGATTTCATTGTTGGTCCACGCAGATTGTGTTCTTCCTCGCCGGTCCGTTGTATCTTCACTGCAGATGGCATCTCTGGGAAAATAATCACGTCTATTTGATGTGCTTGGTTGCTTTGGCAATATCTTCTGTTTGACCTTCACTTGTTGTTCTGCTGCTTTGTGGATCTGACCTTCAGAAAAGGCTCGAAAACAAACTCGAGGTGTTTTACCGTTTTGTACCGGGATTCTGGAAATCTTGGATGGTGCACTAGGTCCTCTGATCTTTTAGTTTAACTTGCACCGTGTGTCCCGGCTAAATTTTGACAAGATCATCCAACACTTCAAGAATTCACTGTAAATATCATGGAATCCTGCTTCTCTGGCAAGACCGTTCAAATAGAAGATATTTGAGTTCAGAGTGCCCAAAAAGCATCAACAAAGGGCCTCTTGCACCATGTATTTTCTTCTAGTTGAATCCTTGCTTGGAAACCACCAAAATTGCACACTTCCTGTGAAATATTCAAAACATTTCTTCTAAAATAGAGTACCGGATTATATGTGGAAGAACTTTAAATTGGTGTCAAAGGCGCTGACCTCCCAAGTCTACAACCTCCAATCGGTCACGCATAAGAGCGACACCGTCGAGCAACGAGAAACTGGCAGCCTAGGTGACCTGAAACTGAGCAAGGGAGAACCATTGGAGTCAGTGTGTTTCCGAGCAGGTACAGGATCATGCGTCCTCAATC